GCTCTGTCTCTCTCTGTCCCCAAAATAAATAAACGTTGTAAAAGGCTAGAAAAAGACAACAAAATTAAACCCCAAATAGGTAGAAAGAATGAAGTAATGATAAGAGTACGAATCATTGAAATGCAGTGTACAAGCATGAGAAAAAAACCAATACAATTAAAAGCTGATTCTTTAGGTAAATTGAATACAATCTAAGGAGACTCATTAGAGCTAAGAAAGAAATTACCAATGTCAGGAATGAAAGACAGTACATTCCTACAAATTCTTCAAACGTTAGAAAGATAACAAGAGTTTATTAGGAACAACCTCACATCAATTGATTTGATAACTTAGCTGAAACGGCAAATCTACTGAACAAGTGGGAGCATTCCCCAGATATACTCAAGAACAAACATAAGTACGGATGGAAGAGCTATAAGCCCACCAGGACTGAGGGCAGAGGAGAAGGCACAGGCATGGGCACGGAGGGAGGGCTGATAGCTAGTTGCCCAGCCTGCAGGAAATTAGACCCGGTCCCACTGATGAAGAGCCCAAGGCCCGGAGAGGGCAGCAGGATCCTTCATGAGCTGGGTTAGCGGGAGCCTCTTCCCAGTCCTGTGCACCTGCTGAGGGCGGCTGGCATCAGAGCACCAAAGATATGTGACAACTGACAGGCCGGTCCCTCTTTTCCTCGCCTTCCCCCACGAACCCCAAGCTAGAGGCGTTCCTGACCCTGCCATTTGGCCACCGAGAGTCACTAAGCAAAATCAGACCGACATCAGGGAGCTTCAGCATAAAGAATTCTGCTGAGTGAACTTCATTACCTGTCATCATTAAGACAGTTTTTCAATGGGCATTTGATTCATCCATTAGTTGGTATCTTTTAAAGCTGCTGTTACGTGTATTCTCATGGGGCCGCATGTCTGCAAAGCGCCACGGTGCCTTGTCCAAACATTACCCCTGCGGATGTGAATTTGGGCAAAAGAGTTTACTTTCTCATCGATTGTTAGCCGACAACCAATTTTGTTGCACGCGGTCGTCACCCTCGGCTTCGTTTGGAGTGCCTCATCAACTGGAGTATTTATTAGGAGTTAGCTAAAAAGCGGACTGTGTAGTTCGTTTTCAGCTGACACGTGGGAGAATCACGGCAGCTTGGGGAGGCCTTGTCCAGAAGGCCCAGAGCCAGCAGGGAGCGGGTGTGTGGCAGGTCAAAGTCCCCAGGGTGAAAGGATGTGGCGGGAACTTCCTGCTTCATCCATTGCCGGCCTCCTTGTAGCTCAGGAGACCAAACTCACTCGGTCCCCACCTCCCAGGCCGCGTCCTCTCATCGTCCATGTGAGTGCGCCCCACCCCCACCCCTCAGGGTCAAAGTCTGAGACATAGCACATCTGTGTCCACACCTGCGTCACAGCTGTAGCCACTGTCCCATGTACAGCCTCTCCCACGCTGCTGGAATGGGCCTGGTACAGTCCTCCAGCACTTGGGTCTCCAAAGCCATCCTGTCCTCTCTCCTGGTCCTGGCACGGGCTATGGACTCAGGTACTCCAGGTCACTCCAGGAAGCCACGTTGAGGGTATAGATGTGGTTGTCTCTGAGATCACGAGTCCGACTCGGGAACGAGGGTCCCGGAGGAGGTGTGCCCTTGGCTGGGCTCCCCCTCAGAGCTGTCTCTCAGGGGCATCTCTGAGCCAGCCTGCAGACGTGGGTGTGGGCATCGCCACTGGGGCCTGCGGGGGGGGCTCTGGACACCGGGCATCCTTCTGTCTGTCATCCTCTTCCTCACAAACAGAGGTAGTGGCATTCCTGGGGAGGGGGGACATGCCGGCTGACCTAGGCCACACCCCAAGCCCCAGTCTACCTGGCTTGACCCCCTCAGTGTGGGGGGAGGGGGGGCAAGCCCACAGGCCCTCCCCTCGGTCCCAGAGAGGCCTTTCAAAGCTCATTAGCCTGCCCTCAAGCTGTGACCCCGCTGACCTTGAGCAGGCCAGACCCAAGGCTCACCACGGCAGCATCACCACAAGCCCCACCCGGCCTTCGTGTGCTCCCTGCACCCACCAGCGACTCCTGCGGGCCCGGGCCTGTCTTGGCTCCTGTGAAGCTGTGGCAGGCCGGCCAGGGCCCTCACGGCACCTGCACCGTGTGTCGGGGAGGGCAGAGCGCTTCCTCCAGGGGCAGCCGTGGCTGTGGGAGCCGACGCACCTCGTGGCCCGGATCTGGGCTTTCCACCTGGGGCTGACTGTGAGGCTGGCGTGGGTCTGGCACCGGTTCCAAGGTACCTGGGGTGAAGGGAAGGCCACTTGAGGAAGAAGGGTCTCTGCCCGGTGCCCAGCCTAAAGCCAATTCCCGGGGCTGGGGGTGGAGGGGCAGGCCCGCAGGTGGTACCCAAATTAGGACACAGGCGAGGGGACAGATTTGGTCCCCCCCAGGGCCCAGAGAACAGCCAGGCCTGGGATCCCCAGGGCTTGACCCCAGCCAGAGGACACACTGGGTAGATAGGCTCTCCTGCTGGACTTTGCTCCTGCCCACCATCCCCTTTGTGGTGGTGATCGCCATCAGCGCCCCACCCCCCCCCCACCCCGTGCTTCTGGTCAAGAGAGGAGGTACTGCTGGGGTGGGGCTGGAGCATCCCTACCACCGGGCTCCCCAGGGTTCCCTCCTCTGACCACTGTTCAGTATCTGGCTGTCCTGAGTGTCAGCCTCCCACCCACAGCTGAGCTTCCAGAACCGGTTTTGGTGTCGCCTGAATCCACCCATTCTACGGGTCCAGCTGGCATTGGCAGGTAGAAGGGTCGCGGGCGCCAGGCATGTGCCAGCCTCAGGCTGCTGTGGGGTGGGTCCAGTGGCTGGCTCTGCCCTTTGCATCAGGACACAGGGCAGGGGTGGGGGGAAGCTTCGGCAAGAGGCGGTATACGGCAGGAAGAGGCCACCAATGCCTAAGTCACAGCCCTCGTGACTCCAGGGGTCCTGGGACAAAAATCACCTTGTGCCTCAGTTTCTCCATCTGTGAAATAGAGGCGGAGGCTGCTGGCAGCGCTCACCCCGGGGGTCAAGCACAGCCCAACCCCACCACCGGCTACTCCTGAGGAAGGGGGCTCACCCCAAGTCTCAGAAGCTGAGTAGGGAGGGCGTCCAAGGCAGAAGCCACAGCAAGACGGGGGCAGGTGAGCGGGCCTTTGAGAAGCTCGCCTGCGGGTGGGGGGTGTGGCCGCGTGTGCGGTGGGTACTGAGTACCCTGCCGAGTCGTGTGAGCTTCAACCCAAGAAACTGCCTTGGGGGTCCGCGGCAAGCCCCCAGCAGAGAGCTGGGCAGGGGCAGCCTGGGCGGAAGCTGAGCAGACAGCTAGCCCACCCCCCTCTCTCCCAGTGTCTTTCCAGCTCGGTGTTCTCCAAAGAGGTGAGTGACCCCTCACCCCACACCCTCCTCAGCCTGAGTCTGAGGGAGACACAGTCTTGGCCCCACCACCCTATTCACGGAGGGAGGGGGGGAAGAACCCCAAGCAGGGGGGAGAAATATCATGGGTAAAGCCTGACTTTGACTCTGAGCCCTCGGAGGTTAGCTGTCTCTGTGCGCGGCGCTGGGACCCGGTGGACGCCAGAGGCACCTCTGCGCCAACACAGGAAAGGCCCCTGGTTGGGGGTACATCTCGGCCTGCCTCCAGGCCAGGCACTGTGCCTGGAACCATCCATGCGCCCCGAGGCCTGCGGCGCGGAGCAAGCGCGAGGCAGCAGAGGAAACGGGGGTCCTCGCTTTCCGCTAAACGGCGCGGGTGGGCGGCGAAGCCCAGCGCCCCGCGGCCGAGACTCCGGCGGGGACGGAAGTGGAGGAGCCGCGGGGGAGGGGCCGGCGCGGGGGAGGGGCGGGGCCGGAGCCGATCCGGGGTTGGGCGTGGCTTGAGGGCGGGGAGAGCGGGACGCGGGCTGCGGGCGAGGCCGGGGCTGCGCCCAGAATGGGGGCGATCCGGCTGCACGCGGGTGGGGGCGGCCACCCCCGCGGCTCTCCAGACTATTCCGTGGACATTGCAGTATTGGGAAGAAGCGAGTCTCGAGGAACGCGGAGGCAGAAGAGAACAAAACGCTCGGCGGACCCGTCCTGGGAGGAGGCATTTGTCAGCCGTAAAGCGGAGACAAATCCGCGGGAAGTACGGGGGCTGGGACGACTTAAAATCCTCTGCGCATGGAGTCCCTCGCCTCGCACCAGAATTTAAAAGACCGAGGCCAGCCAGACACACACACACACGCCCAGGAGGGGCGGGGGGGGGGGGGGGGAGAGCAGGCCTCCGCTCCTCGCGGCCTGTGTAGCAATCTGGCAAATGGGGGCGGTGGCCCCGCGCGGCCTCGAGGGTGGCCAGGGAGAGGAGCGCAGGCGTCTGCCCCGGGAGCAGAGGCCCTGGTTGGAAGCGCCAGGTCCTAGAGATAGAACAGACATCCTCACTGGCTCCGTGGAGCCCCCACTGCAGGGCCTCGGGTGCTTTTCACCCTGATTCTACTTGGTCTTTTCTTACATTCCTGTGAAGTTAGATACCAATTTCCTATTAAAAACCCCGTATCTGGGGCGCTTGGGTGGCTCAGTTGGTTGGGCGTCCGACTTCGGCCCAGGTCATGATCTCGCAGTCCATGAGTTCCAGCCCCGCGTCGGGCTCTGTGCTGACAGCTCAGAGCCTGGAGCCTGCCTTGGAGTCTGTGTCTCCTTCTCTCTCTGCTCCTCCCCTGCTCATGCTCTCTCTCTCAAAAGTAAGTAAACATTAAAATAAATAAATAAAAAAGAGCGAGTGGGATGAGTTGAACAGGTGCACACGTGTGGGCTTAGGAACCCCACAGAGGAAATCCCAGGGAGAAATACAGTGGACAACGGATGACATCCGAATGGACGCGATCTTCCCGGTAACCCTAACTCCCACCGAGGCCCCCAGGAAGAGGGAAAAGAATCACGAAGTGCTTCGAAGAAAACTAGGATCTCCAGAGAGATGATAAGCTGTGGGGAAGCTCTGTCCCGACAAGATATGGAAGTTTCACACGGGGCGGGGGGCGCGCGGCTTGCCCACGGCTGAAGGTCGGAAACTTGTGGCGCCATTTCCTCATATGGGGGCGCCGGCGGTGAGGGTCCCCTGGGCGAAGGGCCCAAGTCTCCCGGCACGCCAACAGTGGGGACTACTTGGGCTGCTGCTAGGTGGGATTCGGAAGCAAGTCCTGCGTCCTCCTCCGGAAGCCAAAATCCTGCCCATCTGAGATCGGACCTCTGCAGGGCGCGCACACGGGCTTGTCACGCACCGACTTCGGGCGAGGGAGTGGCGGGCGGTGGGGGTGGGGAGAAGCCGGAAGGGGAAGCCGGGCCGTTGCCCAAGCGACGGGGTGGGAGTGGGGGAGGGCGACTAAGTTCTGTCTCCACGGAGACCGTGCAGGATGAACGCCAAAGTTACTGAAGGTGGGCACACCCCGACGGACCGACGGCCACGGCCCGGAAAAGGCCCAAGAGTAAAGGTTGGAGACGATGCCCGGACCCCCATGCCCCTGACTCTGCCTCCCCCGATCTCATGTCCCTGAGACGCGTCCCTCCCGCTAGAATTTTCGGGCGGGCGGGGAGGGGGTGGGAGGGAAGGGCTAAGCTGGAGCAGCGGCCTGGGGGCCGTGGTCTCACGCGTGCCCGTGCTCCAGGCCCCAGTCCATGGGTCCCAAGAAGAAGCTCGGGACCAGCGCGGGGCGCCGGCCGGGCGCGGCGGGAGACGGGGCCGAGCCGCCGCTGTCGGAGCGCGCGCAGTACCTGCAGCGCGAGTACACGCTGCTCTCGGAGCAGCTGGACGCCTGCGAGGCGCGTGTGGACCAGGTGCTGCAGGAGAACGCCTTCCTGGACCGCGAGGCGCTGCGCTTGCGCGAGGAGAACCGGCTCTACGCCAGCTACATGAGCGCGCGCGCGCAGCGCTGCGCCCGCGCCGTCGCCCGGCTGGAAGAGCAGAACCGCGTGGACCTGACCCAGATCCACGGGCAGCGGGCGGAGCTGGAGGCGCTCTACCGCGGGCGCGAGAACGGAGTGCGCGCGCAGTTGCTGGAGATGGAGGCGCGCGCGGCGCGGATGGCGCGGCAGGTGCAGGAGCTGCAGCCATACAAGGCCAGTGCGCGCGCGCCCGCGGACGTGCCCCGCGGGAGGGGTGGCGGCGCGCGGCGCCCGGGCGCTGACCCGCGCCCCCGCCGCAGGAGCTGCAGCTGGAGCAGTTGGCCCGGATCCGGGCGCTGGAGCGCGAGCTGCTGCACATGCGCGTGGATCACACGCAGCTGCTTCACCGTGTGAAAAGGCGCTTCCTGGAGGACAAGGCGGCCTTCGAGCGCGAGGCGCGTCAGCGCGTGCAGTCCTTGGGGCGGCGCGCGGAGCGAGAGGCGGCGCGCGCGCTCGTCGCGCACACGCAGGCCATCAAGGCTGACAACGCGCGCCTGCGGCAGGAGCTGCTGCGGCTGCTTAGCTGGGCCCAGCTGCTGCATGACACGCGGCGCCAGCTGCTGGAGCAGCGTGAACAGCTGCGGCGCGAGCACGAGGACACTTGGGACCTGGCGCGTGTGCATGGCTGGCTGCGCCGGGGCCCAGGGGGCCCGCCGCTCTGGCGGCCGCCGCCGCCACCGCCACCGCCACCAGCGCGGCCCGCCTCGCATCAGGGGTCCTTGGCCGCCTCCACAGCCCCATCGCGCGGGGCCTCCCAGACCCCGACATGGCTCCCGCGGGTGGGCTCCAGGGCCCCATCACAGGCCCCTTCGAAGGAGGGTTCAGGGGCTTCATTCCAGGCCCCGTTGCGCGCGGGCTCCCATTTCCTGTCCTCGACCCCGTCCCACCCCGGCTCTCGGGTCGCGTCCTCGACCCCATCCCGCCCGGGCTCCCGGGTCCCATCCTCGGTCCCGTCGCGCCCAGGCTCCCGGGTCTCCTCGCGGGCCTCGTTATACGGGGCCTCAGAGAATACCGCCCCCTCTGCCAAGTCTGTCCCGGGGCCAGGCTCTTCCCGTCCCCCAGACGCAGGAGCCCGTGGACACTGACGCTGCAGGGGAAGCCGCCCCAAGGGGAGCCGGAATCTGCTGGGGGCCGTGGAGGGCGCGCGGTGCTCAGGTGTTTGGTGAATGCAATGTTAATAAAGGTGTGACCCGCTCACCGGGCTCCGGCACGGCCTGCTTTCCCGCTGCAGCGTTTCCGGCGGCACAGGGGCCGCTCGTTAAGGCTTCCAAGCCCCAGAGTAGCCTGATGCGCCCCTCGCCCTGTATGTCAGCGGGGATTCGGCATCCCTCTAGTCCGCAGCTGACCGCAGCTGCTCCGCAAGGACAGAGAAGTCGGCCGCACCAGTATCCTCCCACCAGGGCTGACGGAGACGGAGGTCGCCGGCGCGGACAAAAGGTGTAAGAGCAGGAAAGGAGTCGCACCAGCCAGGAGGGCCAGCGTGGGGTGCGCTGTGGTCAGGAGGGCCCGCCTGCGAGGGGGAGGGGTGTCTCCAGCGCCACCGGGACCATAGGGGGTTTATGTTGAACCTGTTGGAGGTTTGGGGGTAATTTTTAATTTGAACGTGATTTCCAACTTGGAGAAAAGCTGCAGAGCACAGAGAACTCCCGGGTCACCATTACTCACCAGCAGTCTGCTTCCAGTCCCTGCAGCCGAGTTTGCATTTTCCCCTAAACCACTTGACATCAGGCTCAAGATGCTGTGTCCCTTCACTTTTAAGTCCTTTCGTGTTCCTGAGCACAGGATGTTCTGCTACCCCAGAACAATGATCCAAACCCGGAAACTTAGTACAGAGAAAACAGTATTAGCTGAGCCACAGACCCCACTGAAATGGTGTCAGTTGTCCCCACGGTGTCCTTTGCAGCCACCCCCTCTGCCGGGGCCACACGCCGCATTTAGTTGTCAGTCTCAACCTGCAGGGGCTGGTTATTAAGACGTCCCACAGTCGTGGTTTGTATTCATCCACAGCCATGTTTTGACGGGGGGGGGGGGGGGGGTTGTCCAGCAGCTCTTGGGAGAGCCCAAGCCCTGCACACCCTCAGTTCTGGCCCAAGGGCTAGGGGCTTCATCCTGAGCACCGAGGGAAGGTTCTTGAAATTTCTGGGTCTTTGGTTGCACATTGGTGCCCAGTGTTGGAGAGGCCCAAACAGGAGGTGGCCGTGGCTAGGGTGGCTGGTGCACTTCTGGCAAGAGGGTGCAGACACGGTGGGGCCTTTGGGGCACTGCAGAGCAGCCCCCCACAGTGGCCCACGGACCACGGGTCCAAACAGCAGCCCCTGATTGCCTTGTTAACCTTAAAAATTAAAAGGCCAGGTATTTTACCAGCAGAAATAGGTTTGTTCGGGAATAGCAGAGAATTGCAATCCAACACAAGCAGGGGAGGGCTAGACCGCAGGTGCGGCCTCAGAACAAAGGAGCTGAACACTCTTTTATAGAGGAAAGGGGGAGCTGGGCGGTGCTGTCGTAAACAAAAAGTCCTTTGGAGTAAACGGAGCTGAAAGCGTAGTGGCTGCGCTTTGGCTGAGCCCCCGGCAGGGCTGCCCCTGGTGGGCTGGGAAGTAGTGACCCGCCAGGTCCCACTTGGGTCTGCAATTGACAAGATGGTGGGGCAGCGGGAGCTCCCCCTGCTGGCCTCCCGGCTCCATTCGGCTCCGTTCGAAACGAGGTTTCCCTTTGTGAGTTTTCACAGCCCGCATGGGAGGGCCCTAGGGTTGGAGAGGGCGGGTGGAAGCAGGCTGGACCGGGGCCCGGTGGAGGCAGGAGTTCAGATCACAGGTTTTAAAACGGAGTTCTCAGTCGTCGCGGGCAGCGCACGATGAGGGTGAACCACTCGGAGGAAGCGGGCGGAAACCCCGTCCTCGCCCAGCTGTATGCTTTGGCCAGCTCTCCCACCCCCACCCCCCACCCCCGCCATGAAACTTTAAATGTTCTGGACCTGGGTGGGCAGTGCTCTTGGGCCCCTCCCAGCAGTAAACACACTCTTGGAAGAGTACACCATTTCTGTTTAAAAGGAACTAGGGCTCCTTCGAGATTTGGGGAAGAAGGTAATACAAAATGAGTTTAGGATTCCCTGTGCCGCAAAGCAAGGCTGCTCCCAGAGAGACACCTGCCAGAGGGGCAGGGTGACAAAAGCGAAAGGCTCTGAATGGCCAACAAGTCAACAATTTCAACATCAAAAAGAATAATGGCTGCACTGAATAGAAACACATCAAATATAATAAAATGCATGCGCTTAAAACAGTATTAACACCCATTCCATCGGTCATCTTGAAGGTTGCTAGTACAATAACCCATTATTCTAAAAATACATCCATTCTGCCTTTCCCCTATGAACTGTATTTCAGGATAAATTGGTGGAGGGAAGTTATGTATCGAATTCCATCTAATAAATGCAGAAGAAATAATCGGCAATATCATAATGGTAGTGAAAGCCAATTGGTAGAAGACTGATGAAAATAACGGAAGGTTCAGCTGACCCTCTGAACCCATGAGTGACCCAAACTTTGCTAAGAGATATCAAGTGCCTCCTGGTGTGAAGCCATTGAATCCTGCACAATGCAACACAGAGCACTCTTGATGAGAAACAAACTGATCTGATCAAGTTTCTGGATGTGACTACTAATGCATACAAAATACAGGGGAAAGAGGAACATATTAAAAGAGAGAGTAGGGATGTAGTCATCCAAGCCCCCATAGGGCAAATGACTGCTTTTTCCCAAGAAATAAGTGGGAAGTAATTCTTTTTTTTAAAGAGGAAGGGGACATTGATATGGATTAGCAGACTTAAGACACATTTCCACTAAATGCAACATATAGACCTTGTTCAAACCCCTATTCTAGTTTGAAGTGTTACATCAAGATAGAGTTTCTTGGCAATTATGAAGCTAACAAGCAGTGGCACGCCCCACACTTCCTCGTCCTGGGCATTCCTTCTGGCAACTGACCTTCCAATGTCTCTTCTGCCCAGACACCCCGTCCTCAAGACCCTCTAGCCCACTGATTTCCGTGAAATAATGAGCCACATCAGAGTAGGCATTTGTCCATTTCTCTTTGCAGTTCTGTCATTTTTATTTTATGTATTTTTGAAGCAATTATTAATTGCGTACAAGTTTAGATCACTAGCTCTTCCCCGTAAACGGAACCTTTTATCAGCCTGCCTTCCTTGCTGTGTTCTTCCTTGCCTCTGCCTACAGCCTGTCTGTTATTGATGTGGCTGCTTCAGCTAGTCTGGAAAGTCGTTCTTTGTGACTAAAGATCCAAACATTAAAAAAAAGTAAACACACATTTGTTGGAATGGCTAAAATCCAAAACACTAACACCACCACATGCAGGTGAGGGTATAAAGCAGCAGCAACACTCACTCGTGGCTGGTGGGGACACAAAATGTGGCAGCCACTTCGGAAGACCAGTTTGGCGGTTTCTTACAAACTAAACACTCTTACCACGTGATCCTGGAATCACGTTCCTTGGTATTTACCTAAAGAGTTGAAAACTTGTGTCCACACGACAACCTGCACACGGGTGTTCACAGCGGCTTCATTCAGAGCCCCCAAACCCTGGAACAGCCGAGGTGTCCGTCAGCAGGTGAACGGACAACCTGTGGTCCATCCAGACAACGGGATGTGGGTCGGCACTAAGTAGGAACGGGCTGTCGAGCCGTGAAAAGACCTGGAGGGACCCTAAATGTATATTACGAGGTAAAAGAAGCCAGTCCGAAAAGGCTACACACGGTACGATTCCAAGTCTGTGACATTCTGGAAAAGGCAAAACCGTGGAGACGGTAAAAGACGAGTGGGGGCCAGGAGTCGGGGGGACGGGAGGGGCAGTCAGCACAGAGGGTTCAGGGCAGTGAAACTACTCCGTGTGACACTCTCAGTATCGGGCACACGGATTACACATCTGTCCAAACCCGCAGAATGTACGGGCCTAGAGTGAGCCCTGAGGTTAACTATGGAACGTATCAGTATTGGCTCATCAGTTATAACAAGTAAACCACACTAATGCAAGATGTTAGTAACAGGAGGAACTGGGGGTGGGGGGATATGGGAACTATTTTCTGATCAGTTTTTTCAGCAAACCTAAAAATGCTCTAAAAATAGGAAATCCATTAACTCTTTTCAAAAAGCAAAAACAAAGTAGTGCAAGCATTCCATAATCTTGAAGATTAGGAAGCATTTTTTGACAAGAAAGAAAACCTCAAGGCATAAAGTATCGCCACGCAAAGATACGAAACATTAACGTGAAAGACGTTATGCTAAGGCACACCATCGATTAGGAGACAGCAATGTTTACAACAAGTAAAGTAGAAAAAGGATAACTTTACGAAGAGCTGAAAGAAAAGGGCCGACCACTCACCAGAATAAGGAAGGAACACCGCGGCACCGGCCAGGTGTCAGGGAGCAGGTGACATTGAAGTCCAAAGGACAAAAGTCCTCATCCCGGATGGGGAGGGCAGCCATGGCCGCTGGGCCAGAGATTGCGGTGGATCTAAACTTTGGATTTACTAGATTAAAGCAGACCTACTCGGAGCCGGCAGTATTCTGGGACCCTATTCTGCGTGGAGGGTGTGGATTGAACTGTGTCCCCCAAAGTCCTAGCTTCGGGATGTGAGCTGATTTGGAAATAGGGCTCTGGCAGATGGAGTCCCCCGGATAAGGTGGCTCTAACCCAACAGCATTGGTGTCCTTATAAGAAGATGGCCACGTGAAGACACAGACACGCAGGGAAACACCCATGACAACGGAGGCAGAGACCGAAGCCGTGCGTCCATGAGCCAAGGAACACCAGAGGCAGGAAGAGGCAGGGAGGACCCTCCCCTCGAGGTTTCTGAGGCAGCGTGGCCCTGCCGATGCCTCGACCTCGGGCTTGTGACTGCGGAACGGAGACAACACATTCTGTTGTTTCAGCCGCCCCAGGAAACTGACACGACCCACGTGCATACAGGAGGCTCCCAGGAGATGTCCTCCAGCAGGACGCGTGTTCTGGAACCCCATGAAGCTGTTCAAAGAAGGGGGACAAAACCATGGAGAAGGACATGGGCCGCACGAGTCCACCACCGCGAGGAAAACAAACCAAGATCATGTGTCACTTACCTGGCACGGGACGAGCGCTAGGGTCAGGCTGAGCCGCTAACCAAATAGCCGTCGGGCCGGGGCCAG